GATATAGATATATCTATATATATATATTTATTTATGTGTAGATACATATATATATATATACATACACACATTTTTATATACATTCATATGTGTAGATACATATGTATATATATATATGTATTGTATGTATAGATGTATTTACATATATATGTAAAGTAAATATGCATGGAGGTATGACCATCCCTTTTTATGGAAACATCAGCCAACTCATGACCATGGCACTTTTATATGTTTCTGGAGAACGAATCTTCAGGATCTGATGGATCATGAAAAATACTAGTCCATCCCATTATACTGGCTGGTAAATAGTTCTCCCTGAAGTGGGTTATGAAGTGGTAATCAGGTCATATATATTACATTAACGCATCAAAAGGGCTATTTTGAAAGGCATATAGTCATAGTCATCAACTGGATATTCCCGAAGGATCCCTTCCCAGTATCTCCCACAGTCCTTCAAGTGCTTGTGAGCGGATCGAGCAGATCCGCTTAACATCAAGCCATTACACTTCAGAAGTTCTTTTCGAACATTCTGAAGCAAAAGGATCCGATGCACGTTGTCGGAGCTTCCTGACATCAAGGTCTGAAACCCTGGGTGAATGATGAACTTCCAAGTGGCATGAAAAGTGTTTCATCTTACTCCCAAGTTGAAACGTTCTGATCAACAGTGCTCAATTTTCATGGAAAGGAAAAGGCTGAACATCCGAACATACGCTGGGTAGAATGCAAGTGGGTATGGCTCAAAATGATGGACCTCACCATCAAGAGTGGTATCAGCAATGACAACGAATACGATGCCGGAATTGCAGTCACAACCAAATTGTACGGCCTATTCCGATAAACTCCTGGACCGAGTCTTCCTCACCCAATCCAAGTGCATTGCATCTGCGGCGGGGTAAAGCATATTGCCTTTGTCTGAGAATGTACCCCCAACCCCCTGGTTTACCACAGTTGATCACCATTTTCCTTACTAAAATTGCCAGGTCCAGACCGCAGACCCAGTCACTGGGTCTTGTGGCTCTGTTTCCAGCTGGTGTCACAATTTTGGCACCAATCCAATTCCCCCTAACACATCTAATATCAAAATATACTTCAATAGCCCCTTAAATGGCCCCCTAATTGAATGGATAAAAAAAACAGTTTCTGGTTTTCTGGGGGTGTTTAATATTGGACCACCGCAAGGATTACTATTGAACCACCGATCAGTTATAAGCCACAAAAATCAGGAGTAGATCTAAGAACTTGGGAGATGGCACGAACTGCAGCTGTCCTTCTTCTGTCCATCTTTCCGTCATTGTGATAAAAACCAATAAGAAAATTATGTTAGCAATAATAACAATAACAACAATAATAAAGAGCTCCTATAGTCTACTATAGTAATAAAACGGTGATCGTAATAGTAATGTTTGAAAGACAGCAAGCTTCGAAATTGAAAAACAAACAGGGCCAGTGGAGTCACCCATCCCTTCCGTCAGCCGAGCATCTCAAGGATGCTTCCATGTGTTCCATCACTTGGTGAAGAGCATCTGCGATGAAGTATCGATCTTCATCCTGGAAACTCACGCGTTCACGCCACTTCTCTGTGTTTTTCAGGAACTTTGCTCGTTTCTTTTGGCTGTTCAGTTGCAACCCTGATACCATATCTAGCCTTAGTAAATTTAGATACCCTGCAAAAAATATCATGTTTATCTGCCTTGAGGTTCAAACATATCGCCATCAAAACTGCAACATGTGTAAGCCATTTGGCAACTACCCAGCACCAGTCGGTTTGGGCTGGAACAGAATTCAGTTCCTAAATCATCGCATATTGTCCAAATACATCAAGGAAACCAACAATATATGGGAAATCATCATATAGCTTGAAAACTACCTTCATGTATAATGAAAGCGCGGCGTGAAACTGCTGCTGACCCCCCAGGTGCATACATTCATGATACTTCATCTGCACCCCTCCCCTCTCAATTCCCCCCCACCCCCTTTCAAAATTTCGCTCCCCTCCAAATTTGGGAATTATTAATGTATTAACCCATGCGGGTAGGTGGCCTCCTATGTTTTGGCAAACTTAGATTTCAGGGGGAGGGGCCTCAAAAGCGCCATGCTATTTCGTAAGATTCCTCAGGAAAACTCCATGAGCATCAAAGATCCATGGCCGTGCAAAATCAATGTATGAAACCCCCTCCTCTTTAGGTAATCTCTTAATTTTACCAAAAAAAAATCATACAATAAATGCTGTTTCAGAGGGGGCGGGTGGAAATCTATGAAAAATGCCCTGCCTCCCCCCCTCAATATACATTATCGGGGGTGGGGGGATGCTTGAAACTTATCCTTTTTCCCACATTTTCCCAAATCATTCCTTACTTCGGCGGTGAGGTCGTCTACGTTCAGGACGATCCAACTGAAAACTCATGGCTTTGGCGGTGAATGGTCCGATGGGAAACACTGATCTTTGGTGAAATTTCCCGAAAAAAAGCCCATTCTCCTGGAATCTGTCCATGACCACTTGTCAAGAGTTTGGTCATGCCAGCAAAAATACGAGCTCACCAAATTGCCGGCTCAGTGCATGGCATTCGCCGGCTCATTGCTTTGTGGGAATGGAACAAGGGCAAATATAAATTGCACAAATTAATTAACCATCTATATAGCTGCCCAAACAGATAGAACCGTGTTTCCAAGATGCTACAGATTTTGTTTAGCCATAATTTTCAGGTCTTCAACTTTTCAACGACTATTGGATTATTTGCGGGGTTACCATTCTAGGTTGCTATACATCGTTTAGCCTTGCATGTTCCAACAATCCAAGAATCTAGACTACCATCCAGCAATTAAAAATCGCTAACGTGGATGGCCCATGAAAAATCCAGCAATTTCTCCGTGATTTTCCATCCCTTAAACATGTTTTTTTTAGCCAAGCCATCCAACGAGGCCACAAAAAATAGCGGCTCCTTGGTGAAGTCCCCACAGCAGGGCGACAGTTGCCAAAAGCCTTGATCAATCAATGATGAATGACTATGATTTGAAGAACAAAATGAAGATTCACAGACAAAGATTTTCAAAAAATAAGCAAGGTATTCTAATATGTGTATGTGTATATATATATATATGTATACAGTGACAAGATACGGATGTATGTATCCACATATCTGGCATGAATCAGGGCGTGCGGCAACAATACAAGTAAACTTGTAGATAGCACAAACTATGCAATTCAATGTACATTAGATCTTGTCAAAATCATAGCAAATCTACCAAAATCGGATCTCTTCCACTCCAACCAAACCACAACTTAGCATCAAAGTCGAGCAATGTAAGAACATGGGCCGGTTGGTCAGTTCACCCTGGTCCCCGGGCGATCGCCAAGGCACTGAAATAGTTGACATGCCAAAGGGCCCTGCCATCCACGTGCAAAGTGGGTTTGGTGCCGCTTCCTGTCGTCCAACTGCTAACATGGGGTATTCAAAAAGGCCAGAGACACCTAGAAAGATCTGCAAGGATGGTTGGAACATGTTGGAACTAACCGAAAGTGTTCAGATTTCAGCCTTTCAGACTCCAAAATAAGAGATATCCGGTGTCATCAGCTCCACGGCTGGAAGATCCACCTCCATTTTTCACCTAAAACGTGGATTTTCCCAGCGGCGACCGAGCAGCCCAGCAAGCCATTCACCGCCAATTCGAATTGGCACCATCCACGACTCTTCCAGGAACAGCGACCTGCCAAAGCTTGGCCAAGGCTGGGGATATCCTCAATGAGATTTTAAAAATTGGAAAATCACCGTTCCCTGCGCATTGTTGGACCAGATACAAAGTACTGAGCCATGCCAGTATTCCGAGTGTGTGGAAAATAGAAATGGATAGAAATGGGATATTGCAGAGAAATTTCAATCGTTGCAATATGTTGCAGTGAACTTTCAAATGGATGTGGTCAATGTTCCTGACCTGCGGGCTTCGGAGTTTTCAACTTTGCCCGGAAAACCATCTGCTAAACAACCATGGAATGCTTGAAAGTACCTCCAAGCAAAAGCAAGTTAAGGCATGCCAACCCCAAACCATAGAGGACACCTTGTATTTGGTGGCCAAAAAACACGTAGAAACTGCCATGGTTTCCGGATGTAGATCCCTCAAATCCATCCAGTAGGTCACGAATCAATCCAGTAGAAATTATAACTATCATGTTTAAATATGTAACATATGTTTAATGGGATAACTATGGAAAATCACCATTTTTTCCATATATGTCATTCTAGTCTTGGTCACTATACCAACTGCTTGATTTTCCCCTTTTTAGAACCATCCCTTCGCCCCTTCGATATCCTTCGATCACATCGCCCAGAAACTCATGAGCCGTCCAGACTCGTGGTAGTGGATGGGCGCCAAGATCACAAAGAAGGAGCAGTGCCTAAGCGCGCGAGAAAAGCGAGCGATGCTCGGTCGTCGTGCTGTGTCAATGTGATTGATGTGAGCCAGCTGGATATACCATGGAAGATGGGGTAATAAACTAGCATGTTCGATAAATGTACTGTACCTATAAATATACATTTATTATATATATAATTTGTAATTAATCTTAAATATAAATATATATATATATAATCATGGGTATAACGTGTTTCACCGCCCCCACCCAGTCTTTTCAAGTATTCTATATGTGCACGTTTCAGAGATGTTGTGCTGTGCACGTTTCCCAGCAGTTGTGCACGTTTCACAGAAGTTGTGCACGTGTCACAGAAGTTGTGCACGTTTCACAAGCGCCCTAATAACGTTCGTGTTCAACTGTATACACACTGAGCGCATTCTAATCAGCAAAAGCATTGGGGCGACCAAACACGTTCTCCCGAGAATTATATATACACAATTGTATATACATATAAATATTGGCATAACTGAGTCAAACATTGGGTACCATTAACACACCCAATAGGTCTCCTATGGTCTCCTCTTGGATTCAACGATCCTTAAATTCGGAGATCGGTGATCCGCAAAGGTGGGTCCAGTTGGAGATTTTGCTGAGTCAAAAACTTAGGGAATGGATGGCGGGGGTTGCTGGGATTCTTCATTGTGGATCAGCATAGTTGTCGTGGATCATTCCCGAAAATTCCCTACGTTTAGCACTACTAAGACAACAACTCGTTTCTAGTCACAGAAAGTCCCCGCAACGGTGTGTCAAACCTGGGAAAGCCGGGAAATTCCAATGGGGATGGCCCAGCCATGGCCAAACTGGTTGCCCTGTCCTGACAAAAATCGAACCCCAGATTTAAGCAGGAATACATCATCCCACTTAGTAAGTAGATTGAACACCTAGTTATAAGTGGATTGACACTACTTATCCCGCTTAGAAGTAGGGTTACAACATGTTACAACCTACTAAGTGGGATGGCCACCAAGCAATAAAAGTCTCTAAAATGTGTGTGCATGTGTCTAAAGATGGACAAATATATATATATATGCAATAACACCAAGTATCGCCAGGTGTGGATAAAAGAAACCCCGAAATGTGGATAAAAATGGATAAAATATATCCCCAAATTCATGAAAACGCATCACATACCCCAAATTATGGCCTTTCTCTGTGGAAATTGATAGTCAACCACTGACAACCATCAATTTGTTTGGGCCACCCGTACATGCAAATGTTGGGTATATGCAATATGTATAATATTGGTGTTTTTTTTTTCGGAATGGGATGTATAGCCAACAATTAAGGTTACCCTCTGCCATCCTAGGCAACCACTTGCTGCTTGGATATCCCCTGCTTCAGAATTACCAGCAGCAGCTAGGGCAACCAACTACAACCCCCAACACATGTCAAGTTTCATGGCTCAACAAACCATTCTAGACATTCACTCAACTTGTATACGGTTGAAAACTGTTGGAAAAAAATGTCCCATTCTATCCCCACGAATCTCCCAATTTTTGCGTGAAAAATTGTAAAAAAAATGGTTGAATCCCCATCGAACTGTCGAAGGACGCCACGTAGGTGTGCAGACTCATCACTGCCGCACGCATATCCGCTTGGACCTGTCGTTCTTCCGCCTCTGAACAGCAGCAAACCTGGCGTATCGTTTCAGGAAAACACGGGGAAAACACGGGGGAACAGGCGTGGTGTATTTACCTCTACTTGGGTCATGGGGGGTAAATTTTGCTAAGACTTCCATAAGGCATATGGGGATGGAGACCAGGAAATTAATCAAGATGGCAAATATGCTTGTTATGCAAATATAAAGAACGATTCTATACAATGCTCATTAGTTGAGTCATCAGTACAGGTTCATGAAAGAAAAACATTGGGCCATAGAATCTAGCCATCGAACCAATGTTCGCTCAAATCTAGCCAGCCAATCAGAACATTCGATGTGCTGAACGAGTTGATGATAAACCTTCAGTTTACTAGTCAGTTGACCGATATATCTGGTTTGATATATCAAATCCGCCCGCACCGATCTGTCGGGTACAGCTGAGGGGCCCATGTTCGTCCGCGCGATCCGCCAAAAAGTGCACGGGAGTGTGGTAATTTGCACATTTTGCAGATCGGCACAACATCGGCCAAATGGACCGCTTCAATCCAACATGGCCGCAACATTGGCCCGACTTGGGGTCAACTTCGGCCAGCAATGCCCTAACTTCGGCCCAACTTGGATCAATTGGCCCCAACTTCGGCCCAACTTGGCTCCAAGATGGTTTTTTGCTATCGACAATGTTTTGTCTGAAGCAATGTTCCCCGTGTTGTGTCTCCGTTGGGCCCAACTTGGTGTGAAGCTGTCGCCAAAGGTGCCAAGCTCCGCCGTGCTAGAAATGACTTGGACTTTCATGTGCATCACATGGCTTCAATTTGGAATCCATCTGGATCGCTTTGGGCCCAACTTCACCTCAACATGACCAATTTGCGCCAACAATCGGGCTCAAGACAGCGCAACTTGCGCCCACGTTTGGGCCAGGTGGGCTCCCGCACAACCGGAGCCATTTTTGCGGACTCAATGAGGCACGCTGAAAACTTGCGTTTTGCCGCTGTGTCCAAGGTTTTTTGGCTTTGATGGGGGTTCGTGCGAGGCCATGTCCCACATTGGGCTTGTCTTGGGCCCACTTCTGCGCCAGATGCCCCCATGCAGGATCAAGTTGCACATGCTTAGCCCAACTTGCATCCAGAGGTGCCCAAGTTGCGCCATGTTGGACCCCAGTTGGGCCCAAGTTGGAGCCAACTGGCCCCAACTTAAGGCCAAGGACGGCCGAGTTTGACCCCAGTCGGCTTTTGGTTGGGCCAAGTTAGGTCCGCTTCTTTCCTCTCCGTCAAATTCCCTGGGTGCGGGCGGTTCTCGTCGCGAAGCGACTGGAATACAATATGATGTTAGAGGATTTGCTGTACCCATACTTTCGATAGAAGATCCTATACAATATATTCGATATTCTGATCTATTCTGATCTTCTTATATCTATGGTATTACATATATCACATATCCATATATCATATATGAATATGTTTAGATCTAGATATATATATATAATGTGGTAAACCCAATAAGAATCTATCCCCGATATTGCCATAAATGGGTGGTAAACATCATCAGCAAATGCTGGGTTTATGGCATTGGGTTTACCACAGTATCTATATTTATTGATGGTTACTATCCCATCATATCCCCATAAAAATGTCCCCACTACTACCCATCCCATGACCTGGAAGTTGTTTTAGTGTCGTAAACCAGAGCTATGGGCATGACCGTGGTTACAACCCAGGGTTTTTGGAATTTCAATGCAACGCTGGGGCCGTGGTGCTGCACCCCCAAGTAGCTCGCTGCAATCCTCCTGATGAAAATACCTGAAGGATCACCTAATGAGTTGGTATCTATTATCGGTATACATATGTATACATACACATCATATATATATATATATACATAATGTGTATATATATATATATTAGTATATCACTAAACCGCAATAATCAAAGCAGTTCCCGAATGATCTCCCGCGGCGAAACACCGTTTATGGTGAGGTCAGCCAACGTGCCTGAGGGATGCTGAGGTAGTCGATCCAGAAGTAGCCCCTGCAAAGTGCCTTGAGCTCCTGGCCGAGAGTGCCTTTTGGAATATCCGAAACTGGGACATCTATGGGAAATACCATGGGAAAATGTGGAAAGTCTTTGGAAATCTCTGGAATATCATCGGAAAATCTGGGAATCGGGAGATGGCAATAGAAAATACCATGGATATGGGAAGATCATGGGATGAACCACCAAAAATGGGGAATACCATTGTTCCAGATATGGAGATATGGGATATACAAAAAGTGTATAATTGTATAATCCTATATATATATAAAGTGGTATATAATATATAAATGGGATATGTTTTAAATCGCAAAATCCCACACTTTCTGATATTATCGTGTCATCAAACATGGCTGCTGGGCCGCTGGGAAATCCTAGGACTGGGATTTGTTGCTGAGAAAATCATCGGGCATTTTCACTATGTCCAGAGGGCGTTCATGTTCTTTTGGCTTCTTATTTGTTCAAAAGGTATTTTGTGTTTGTTTGGTCTATATGAATCAAGAATGGGTTAACCAAGGGACTTTTTCTTATAGGTTTGAGGCAAGAGAGAGCAAGCCGTAAGGTTTTGGATTAAGAATGGGCAAGTACAAACATGTATAAACCGTCAAACATGGCATCATAGATGACAATATAAGGTTTATCGCTTGCATTCTCCCCATAATGATGTTTTCTCTGGGAAGCCACAATTCATTGATCCTGGTTAAGGTCCTAAGGTCTCACCTATGAGGTGGTGAAGTAGATACATCTGTAGTGACCCCCAATTGATGGGATAAACCAACTTGCAACTGGGTGACCATGAAAAAACCTTGAACACCCCACTGATGTCAAAATGTCAAAATGTTCGACTTGAACCGGTGCTGAAACAAATATCACCATCTAGAAAATGATGCTAGAATTTATGGAGTGAACCAATGTTTCAGGCTTCAAAAAGGGGAAATGATCATTAGAGCCTTTAATCATTAAAAAGGAGGTGTCATTGATTAATGATTGTCAACCTATCCTTTATATTGGGGATTCTCGTAATCCATGACCTCAAAATCCCCCCACGAAGGTACCGGGTACCATTTTCCCGATTAGATTTCTGGCCATCAGTCAAGGGTTGATCCCCCAGTTTCAGACGCACCCATATAATCATTGTCATCCCATATCCATTGTTGATTGGATTAGCCAATATGTTTTTGCCGACTGATACAGTAATCTTTTTAGATGCTGAGTTTTGGTTTCAATCCTGAAAAATATACAAGTCATTGTGGATTATCATCCAAAATATGCTTGAAATACCACATGTTTGAAACCACCAGCCAGTATTACTGGCTGTTTCCATTTATATGTGGAGATTTCCTGAAATGGAGATACCCCAAAATGGATGGTATATGGTGAAATTCCTATTAAATTAAAATGGATGAGAACTGGGGGTACCCCCATGACTTAGGAAACCTCCATGTAGTTATTTGGACAGGGGCCCCTTGTGTGGCCACCTTTGGTGCCTTAATGTTCACAGGTCGACACATCTGTGGCCGAAAAAAATTGACCATGTCATAATGCAGCTCGCAACTTCCATCGCGAAGGCCCACAATCCTAGGTGCCGAGGCCATGCAGGATTCGGATCCGGATCCACTGCTTTCTTTGGAGCGGTTTGGTTATAGGATCTTTGAGGTGATTTTGAAGATGATCTATCTCAAAAAAACATCCATAAAACTATGGTTATTTTGAAGATGATCTATCTCAAAAAAAACTTCCATAAAACTATCGTGATTTTGAAGCTGATCTATCTCAAAAAAAAATCCATAAAACTATGGTTATTTTGAAGATGATCTACTGTATCTCGAAAAAACATCCATAAAACTATGGTGATTTTGAAGATGATCTATCTCAAAAAAACATCCATAAAACTATGGTTATTTTGAAGATATTCTATCTCGATAAAACATCCATAAAACTATGGTTATTTTGAAGATGATCTATCTCAAAAAAAACTTCCATAAAACTATCGTGATTTTGAAGCTGATCTATCTCAAAAAAACTTCCATAAAACTATGGTTATTTTGAAGATGATCTACTGTATCTCGAAAAAACATCCATAAAACTATGGTGATTTTGAAGATGATCTATCTCAAAAAAACATCCATAAAACTATGGTTATTTTGAAGATGATCCATCTCGATAAAACATCCATAAAACTATGGTTATTTTGAAGATGATCTATCTCAAAAAAACATCCATAAAACTATGGTGATTTTGAAGCTGATCTATCTCAAAAAAACTTCCATAAAACTATGGTGATTTTGAAGATGATCTATCTCAAAAAAACATCCATAAAACTATGGTGATTTTGAAGATGATCTATCTCAAAAGAACATCCATAAAACTATGGTGATTTTGAAGATGATCTATCTCAAAAAAAACATCCATAAAACTATGGTGATTTTGAAGATGATCTATCTCAAAAAAACATCCATAAAACTATGGTGATTTTGAAGCTGATCTATCTCAAAAAAAAACTTCCATAAAACTATGGTGATTTTGAAGATGATCTATCTCAAAAAAACATCCATAAAACTATGGTTATTTTGAAGATGATCTATCTCAAAAAAACATCCATAAAACTATGGTTATTTTGAAGATGATCTATCTCTCAAAAAAACATTCATAAAACTATGGTTATTTTGAAGATGATCTATCTCAAAAAAACATCCATAAAACTATGGTGATTTTGAAGATGATCTATCTCAAAAAAACATCCATAAAACTATGGTTATTTTGAAGATGATCTATCTCAAAAAAAAAACACTTCCATAAAACTATGGTGATTTTGAAGCTGATCTATCTCAAAAAAACATCCATAAAACTATGGTGATTTTGAAGATGATCTATCTCAAAAAAAACTTCCATAAAACTATGGTGGTTTTGAAGATGATCTATCTCAAAAAACATCCATAAAACTATGGTGATTTTGAAGATGATCTATCTCAAAAAACACATCCATAAAACTATGGTTATTTTGAAGATGATCTATCTCAAAAAAACATCCATAAAACTATGGTTATTTTGAAGATGATCTATCTCAAAAAAAAACATCCATAAAACTATGGTGATTTTGAAGATGATCTATCTCAAAAAAACATCCATAAAACTATGTTTTGAAGATGATCTATCTCGAAAAAACATCCATAAAACTATGGTGATTTTGAAGATGATCTATCTCAAAAAAACTTCCATAAAACTATGGTGATTTTGAAGATGATCTATCTCAAAAAAACTTCCATAAAACTATGGTTATTTTGAAGATGATCTATCTCAAAAAAAAACTTCCATAAAACTATGGTGATTTTGAAGATGATCTATCTCAAAAAAAACATCCATAAAACTATGGTGATTTTGAAGATGATCTCTCTCAAAAAAAACATCCATAAAACTATGGTGATTTTGAAGATGATCTATCTCAAAGAAAAAACATCCATAAAACTATGGTGATTTTGAAGATGATCTATCTTTAAAAAAAAAACACATCCATAAAACTATGGTGATTTTGAAGATGATCTATCTCAAAAAAACATCCATAAAACTATGGTGATTTTGAAGATGATCTATCTCAAAAAAACATCCATAAAACTATGGTGATTTTGAAGATGATCTATCTCAAAAAAAAACTTCCATAAAACTATGGTGATTTTGAAGATGATCTATCTCAACAAAAACATCCATAAAACTATGGTTATTTTGAAGATGATCTATCTCAAAAAAACATCCATAAAACTATGGTTATTTTGAAGATGATCTATCTCTCAAAAAAACATCCATAAAACTATGGTTATTTTGAAGATGATCTATCTCAAAAAAACAACCATAAAACTATGGTGATTTTGAAGATGATCTATCTCAAAAAAAAAAAAAAACATCCATAAACATATGGTTATTTTGAAGATGATCTATCTCAAAAAAAACATCCATAAAACTATGGTTATTTTGAAGATGATCTATCTCAAAAAAAAACATCCATAAAACTATGGTTATTTTGAAGATGATCTATCTCAAAAAAAAACATCCATAAAACTATGGTTATTTTGAAGCTGATCTATCTCAAAAAAACTTCCATAAAACTATGGTTATTTTGAAGATGATCTATCTCGAAAAAACATCCATAAAACTATGGTGATTTTGAAGATGATCTATCTCAAAAAAACATCCATAAAACTATGGTTATTTTGAAGATGATCCATCTCGATAAAACATCCATAAAACTATGGTTATTTTGAAGATGATCTATCTCAAAAAAACATCCATAAAACTATGGTGATTTTGAAGCTGATCTATCTCAAAAAAACATCCATAAAACTATGGTTGTTTTCAAGATGATCTATTTCCAAAAAACATCCATAAAACTATGGTTATTTTGAAGATGATAGATCTCAAAAAAACATCCATAAAAATACGGTTATTTTGAAGATGATCTATCTCAAAAAAAACATCCATAAAACTATGGTTATTTTGAAGATGATCTATCTCAAAAAAACATACATAAAACTATGGTTATTTTGAAGATGATCTATCTCAAAAAAACATCCATAAAACTATGGTGATTTTGAAGATGATCTAGTTCAAAAAAACAACCATAAACATATGGTTATTTTGAAGATGATCTATCTCAAAAAAACATCCATAAAACTATGGTTATTTTGAAGATGATCTATCTCAAAAAAACATCCATAAAACTATGGTTATTTTGAAGATGATCTATCTCAAAAAAACATCCAGGTTATTTTGAAGATGATCTACTTCAAAAAAAACAACCATAAAACTATGGTTATTTTGAAGATGATCTATCTCAAAAAAACATCCATAAAACTATGGTGATTTTGAAGATGATCTATCTCAAAAAACACATCCATAAGACTATGGTTATTTTGAAGATGATCTATCTCTCAAAAAAACATCCATAAAACTATGGTTATTTTGAAGATGATCTATCTCAAAAAAACATCCATAAAACTATGGTGATTTTGAAGATGATCTATCTCAAAAAAAAAACATCCGTAAAACTATGGTTATTTTGAAATTGATCTATCTCAAAAAAAAAAAAACATCCATAAAACTATGGTTATTTTGAAGATGATCTATCTCAAAAAAAAAAAACATCCATAAAACTATGGTGATTTTGAAGATGATCTATCTCGAAAAAATATCCATAAAACTATGGTGATTTTGAAGATGATCTATCTCAAAAGAACATCCATAAAACTATGGTTATTTTGAAGATGATCTATCTCAAAGAAAAAACATCCATAAAACTATGGTGATTTTGAAGATGATCTATCTCAAAAAAAACATCCATAAAACTATGGTGATTTTGAAGATGATCTATCTCAAAAAAACATCCATAAAACTATGGTGATTTTGAAGATGATCTATCTCAAAAAAAAACATCCATAAAACTATGGTGATTTTGAAGATGATCTATCTCAAAAAACACATCCATAAAACTATGGTTATTTTGAAGATGATCTATCTCAAAAAAACAGCCATAAAACTATGGTGATTTTGAAGATGATCTATCTCAAAAAACACATCCATAAAACTATGGTTATTTTGAAAAAAACATAAAACTATGGTGATTTTGAAGATGATCTATCTCAAAAAAAAAACATCCATAAAACTATGGTGATTTTGAAGATGATCTATCTCAAAAAAAAAATCCATAAAACTATGGTTATTTTGAAGATGATCTATCTCAAAAAAACATCCATAAAACTATGGTGATTTTGAAGATGATCTATCTCAAAAAAAAACATCCATAAAACTATGGTGATTTTGAAGATGATCTATCTCAAAAAAACATCTATAAAACTATGGTTATTTTGAAGATGATCCATCTCGATAAAACATCCATAAAACTATGGTTATTTTGAAGATGATCTATCTCAAAAAAGCATCCATAAAACTATGGTGATTTTGAAGCTGATCTATCTCAAAAAAACATCCATAAAACTATGGTTATTTTCAAGATGATCTATTTCCAAAAAACATCCATAAAACTATGGTTATTTTGAAGATGATAGATCTCAAAAAAACATCCATAAAAATACGGTTATTTTGAAGATGATCTATCTCAAAAAAAACATCCATAAAACTATGGTTATTTTGAAGATGATCTATCTCAAAAAAACATACATAAAACTATGGTTATTTTGAAGATGATCTATCTCAAAAAAACATCCATAAAACTATGGTGATTTTGAAGATGATCTAGTTCAAAAAAACAACCATAAACATATGGTTATTTTGAAGATGATCTATCTCAAAAAAACATCCATAAAACTATGGTTATTTTGAAGATGATCTATCTCAAAAAAACATCCATAAAACTATGGTTATTTTGAAGATGATCTATCTCAAAAAATCATCCAGGTTATTTTGAAGATGATCTATCTCAAAAAAAAAACATCCATAAAACTATGGTTATTTTGAAGATGATCTATCCCAAAAGAACATCCATAAAACTATGGTTATTTTGAAGATGATCTATCTCAAAAGAACAATCATAAGACTATGGTTATTTTGAAGATGATCTATCTCAAAAAAACATCCATAAAACTATGGTTATTTTGAAGATGATCTATCTCAAAAAAACATCCATAAAACTATGGTTATTTTGAAGATGATCTATCTCAAAAAAAACATCCATAAAACTATGGTGATTTTGAAGATGATCTATCTCAAAAAAAAACATCCATAAAACTATGGTTATTTTGAAGATGATCTATCTCAAAAAAAAAAAAAAAAAAAAAAAAAACCATCCATAAAACTATGGTGGTTTTGAAGATTATCTATCGAAAAAATATCCATAACACTATGTTTTTTTGAAGATGATCTATCTCAAAGAAATCCCATAAAACTATGGTTATTTCTAAGATGATCTATCTCAAAGAAAAACAATCCATAACAACTATGGTGATTTGAAGATGATCTATCTCAAAAAAACATCCATAAAACTATGGTGATTTTGCAGATGATCATCTCAAAAAACATCCATAAACTATGTGATTTGAGATGATCTATCTCAAAAAAAACATCCATAAAACTATGGTTATTTTGAAGATGATCTATTCAAAAAACACATCCTAAAACTATGGTTGTTTTTGAAGCGGAATCTATCGCAAAAAACACCATAAAACTATGGTGATTTTGGAAGATGATCTTATCTCAAAAACACATCCTAAACTATGGTGATTTTGAAGATGATCTATCTCAAACAACACATCCATAAAACTATGGTTATTTTGAAGATGATCTATCTCAAAAAAAAAACATCCATAAAACTATGGTGATTTTGAAGATGATCTATCTCAAAAAAAACTTCCATAAAACTATGGTAATTTTGAAGATGATCTATCTCAAAAAACACATCCATAAAACTATGGTTATTTTGAAGATGATCTATCTCAAAAAAACAACCATAAACATATGGTTATTTTGAACATGATCTATCTCAAAAAAACATCCATAAAACTATGGTGATTTTGAAGATGATCTATCTCAAAAAAAAAACATCCATAAAACTATGGTTATTTTGAAGATGATCTATCCCAAAAGAACATCCATAAAACTATGGTTATTTTGAAGATGATCTATCTCAAAAAAAACATCCATAAAACTATGGTTATTTTGAAGATGATCTATCTCAAAAAAACATCCATAAAACTATGGTTATTTTGAAGATGATCTATCTCAAAAAAAACATCCATAAAACTATGGTTATTTTGAAGATGATCTATCTCAAAAAAAACATCCATAAAACTATGGTGATTTTGAAGATGATCTATCTCAAAAAAAAACATCCATAAAACTATGGTTATTTTGAAGATGATCTATCTCAAAAAAAAACATCCATAAAACTATGGTGATTTTGAAGATGATCTATCTCAAAAAAACATCCATAAAACTATGGTGATTTTGAAGATGATCTACTGTATCTCGAAAAAAACATCCATAAAACTATGGTGATTTTGAAGGTGATCTATCTCAAAAAAAACATCCATAAAACTATGGTTATTTTGAAGATGATCTATCTCAAAAAAAAAAAACATCCATAAAACTATGGTGATTTTGAAGATGATCTATCTCAAAAAAAAAAACATCCATAAAACTATGGTTATTTTGAAGATGATCTAATATGATCTAGATGATTGTGTAACTACAGATTACTGGTGAAACAAGCTCTGTAAACATACAGATGTGGAAAACCCACATCTGAAGCAGATCATTTTCCGGAAGGGAAATCACTGGGAAAATTCCACATGTTTTTCTATAAGTTTGCCCTACTTGGGAGTGCATTTCCATTTATAAGTGGATATGTTTGACCATATACCATATTATATACAAGTTATATATATATATTATATATCAATTATATAAATATATAATTATGTATAATATATATAATTATGTATATCTGTATTATAATATATATATATACATATACATAGATATGTATATATATATATATATGTGTGTATATATATACACAAGTGGGATATCCCCAGTTCTCTATGGCTTACAAAAACGCACCATTTGCAGATCATGTTCCGAATCCTTCCCGGGCTCCACCGAGCATCATGTCCTTCAAGGCCAACAGCTGAACACCGTGCGGATCCGGATGGGCAACACTGGACCTGGAAAACAAGCGCCGCTGGCTCGTTCGATTTCTCGGACGAATGGATGAGTGGATTCATGGATGGTATTATCATGCTAAATCCAAAATTATAAATATATAATATACATATATAAAAATTGATATATATATATAATGATATACCCATGTATATATATATGAGTCCGGATCCCGGATCCCTGGCCCCCCCCCCATGGTATGGTCCCCCAAGCTCACGCTCTCGGGAACACGGGACACGGGACCATATATACATACATACCTATCTTCCTACCTACCTACCTACATACCTACATACCTACGTACCTACGTACCTACGTACCTACGTACACACGTACATACCTACATACCTACATACCTACGTACCTACGTACCTACGTACACACGTACACACGTACATACATATATATATATATACATACATACATACCTACCTACCTACATACATGCATGCATACCTATCTACCTACCTACCTACCTACATACCTACATACCTACATACCTACGTACCTACGTACCTATGTACACACGTACATACCTACATACCTACATACCTACGTACCTACGTACCTACGTACACACGTACATACATATATATATACATACATACATACCTACCTACCTACATACATACATAATCATACATACATACCTATCTACCTACCTACCTACCTACATACCTACATACCTACATAACCTACGTACCTACGTACCTACGTACACACGTACATATCTACATACCTACATCCCTACGTACCTACGTACCTACGTACATACGTACATACATACATACATTCATACATACATGCATACATACATACATACATACCAACATACATACCAACATACCAACATACCACCACCACAGGCCACAGGGGGGGGGGACCAGAAGAACAATACCACCACGCAACAGCGCCCAACAGGGGGGGGGGGGGGGGGCTTGGGAGTCCTGGGTCATATATATATATTTGTATATGTGAAAATGATTGATGGATATATGATATATGGATTATCCCCTCTATAACCCATAGTTGAACCTTCTGCAATCTTCTGAATATATATATATATACATAAATATATATATATATATGTGCAATATGGCAATAATATATATATATAGATATAGATATATGAATGGGCCATAGGACTCTGACAAGACGGTCTTTTTTGTAGATGAAACAAGCCGTTTTCATATCAGAAGTCACGGATCGATTCAAACAATGCCATAAACCATCCCCAAGTCATCACCATTTTTGATGGGATTGAAATCATCCCAAATGGGTGGTTTATGGCATTGTTTTACCCACATGAGATTTAAGGCAACATGTTCTACGAATTCATGTTTTGAACAACGCATCTTCAAACATCTGTTGTGAAGCCAACATTCGTGCGGCAAAGCAGGGGCTGGCCAGGGGCCGCCAGGGGCCATCAAGCCCCGATCTATAATGATGTGCCTCATGCCCACAATGCAAACAACAGAACTTCTAGATATCAAAAAAAATACATCAGACATGGTCAAAAATTGGCTACTTCACCAGCTGAATAAACCATCAAGTTGTTTTTCCCTCTTTCCCCTGAGCTTTTTTCCGGATGAATCTCGAAGATCCCAGTGCCGGCTTCCCCCAAGTGTTTCCCGTCCTTGATGGCTACCAATCGTTGATCCGAAATGTATCCCACACTGTTAAAGGACCCAGAAAATCCCAGGCCCCTGGAAAACCCCTAGGTGAATTTTGGATGGTCACAATTCTGTGGTGGCTTAAAGTGAGTCCGACTTCACTTCCAGGGATGCTTGATTCTTAGGTTTAGCTCAGTTTTCTCAATATGTTTTTTCCGTAGTTTGCCAAATTGTTCTTTATCTTTTCCATATCTTTCCATATTTTGAAATGGTTTTCATATTGTGGTTCCCATGATTTCTGATGGAACAGCCACCCAAAAACCACGGCCGAAAGGCCATTCGTGAGAGACGAAGGTCACCGAAGTGGTCTGACTGGACATATCATGCCTGGGTAGTTTCCGGGATCACCCTGCTTGCTTTTCTTTGATGTTTGGAGTCAACCTTGGTAAACTGGATTTCATAGGCATTTTTCATCATGCAACATGTGTTTTTTAAATACCTAATTATGAAGCCATCAACAATAGTGGATCTATAGGGATCTAAACCAAACTAACGGATGTTTCATGGGAATTTCACTGTGAATATATGGCTCTAATGCGGATTTTGCCAACTACACTGCGAATCTCGTGAGAATAATAATAACATGGGATATTTTTTATAACCACCTATAACCAGCTATGCAAAAGGATGCAAAAGGAGGATCATCCCACAAATCGTGTGATAGCACAGTCGTTCATCCATGGGATAAGCCACGAATCGGGGCCGAATCCAATCACCAGGCGCTATGAACCACTTACAATTCGTTTAAGACTTACTGGTTCAACGGAGGGAATTTTCGGGAATGATCCACAATAACTATCAATAAGAATTAATCCCATTCCCCTATTCCCATCCATTCCCTACGTATTCGCACCACTTTGACCGAAGAATTACGAAGAACGAACGAGTCTGAGGATCGATGGATGGATCGTTCCCCGGTGATCCCATCGATGGATGGTTGGGCAAAGGTGCTCTTCCAATAGACCATCGGCCAGGAGTTCTTGATGTGGTTTCATCCTCTCCATCTGCAACAGATTCTCTGCATGTATCCTCAGTATCCGCTGACTGACCAATGATTTCGGTATGTCCCTGGCCGAATGTGCAAATGATGATGTCGGTCCAAAAATTTTCCCCAAGGAATGGTGAGGTTGGAGTGCGTAAGTCTTTTGACATACTTCCGCTTAATTTATCTCAGTATTGCATAATTTGAGTGGTCAAAACCGGTGCCATATTCCAGCACAGCAATTTTGAGATGAACAGAAGGATTGAATGAATGGTTTTGATATTGACCCATAGCCATAGCCATATTCTCATTGGGTGTATCTGAAAATTACTATCCCGCTTAAATTCCAGTTCATCCGCATGTTCCCAATCACAAACTGCTCGCATTTTTGGACGATTTTTGGGTGAATCCCTGAAAACTCAGCCGGGTCTCACATACATGGGAAACTGCCTGGAGTTTGCAGAGAGGCATCGAGAGGCTTCGGAAAAACTGGGTTGCGGCACGAAGCACTTCTCATCCACACCGCGCTTGCAAATGGACATGGCGACAAACAACGGATCAGCTACTGATCTCGACAGAAAAAGCTGGAAAAGGATTCCAGCCCTTTGTCAAAGCAGTGCCATGGATCACAACTTTGCTGTCCTCTGTGCTGAATGAATTCTCCTTGATATCAGCGGGTCAACAAAAACAAAGCAAGCTGGTGACCAGTTGGAAGTTGGTTTATAACCCCATCCAACTACAGATCTACCGTAAACATCCGTAATTTGGCTACGGGGCACCACCTTGAATATATCAGCCTCTGTATACCCAATTTCAAGCTAGAAGTAGTATTTTCTGCCCCCATCATAAATTCAGATCTACAAATCTCTGGCCAACCAAGAACTTGAACTTGGCAGAATTCAGATGTCAGATAGAATGGCAGAATAGAAGCCAGATCTGTCTAATCTAACCTAACCAGAATGTGAAATCAAATGTTTGAAGAAATGATGCCAAATCATCCATAAATGGGCCATTTTTAGTAGCCACTATTCAATGGAAATATATCGACCCCAATGGGGCCCTGCTCTGGACCTTGCTGACTGCCTCCACAATCTTGATGTTGGCGTCTGCCAACAAGGGCCTTCAATGGTTTCTGCGGGCAAATCTTAATCGGAAACCATGGAGAAAATCCATGACATATAGGGATTTCCTGTAAAAATTCCCTTAACCCAATATATATATAATATAATATATATAATATATATATATACGATATAATTATAAGGTTTATAAGTAGGGTGACAATCCACTTATGACTAGGCGGTCACCAATTGGGACGAAGTACCAGGCAAATGGCCAGTCAGGTCGCACTATGATTCCATCAGAGATGTACGCTCCAGTAATGCAACGTGGAAAATTCCCGAGATCAATTGGGATTTGTGGCAAAAAATCATCGAACTATTGCTGGATTTTCCAGCAAGCCATGGCCATGTTTGATTACCAGTTGACCCCTGAAAGGTTGGTGATTTCTTTGGTCAACATGATTTCATTTACCCTCTGGTAAACTAACATAGCTATTGAAAATCACCATTTATAGTGGATTTTCCCATTAAAAATGGTGATTTTCCATGGCTATGTTAGTTTACCAGAGGGTAATCATCATGACATGAAAAAAAATCGCCCCCCGTGGCTAAAACAAGCCAAGTGTAGATCGTTTTCCTGGGGAAACCATGGCTTTTCATGGTTTTTTCCACATCTACAAGCCATAGATTACTTCCGGGGTGATGCAGAATACCATATGTATTCCCAACTAGTTGGCTTCATAAAATCTCGCATATCATATCATAATATAGTGTGTATATATATATATACATATCATGTCTTTGTCAAACATACAGTATACACATACGTGTATATATATATATATACAATGTATAGATTATATTATATGCATAATTCTGAAGGCACATTATCCAATAACGCGTTTATTCCATGCAAGTACATGTATATATGCCATGTATATGCCACTGGCTAGTCATCGATCCCACCCGTGTCGAGTGTTTCCCGGGTTTCCCGGCGCAATGTCATGCGCCAAGGGCGCCGCCAACGGACCAATCTTCTCAATGGCCGCCAGCACCGATAAGCGAACTGCGCAGGTCGTGCAATTGGTCAGTCTGCAGAGTAGATGTTGTGATTAACTGTAGAAGATAGATTCATGTGTCACGTAACGCCATGTAACTAACGTGTAATTTATGTACAGTATATATGTATTTATATACTATTACAAGTCAGTTGGATAACAATATTTGGACATTTGGAGAATGATGGAATGCATATAGCCTAGTTGTAATGTGTTGTATGAACAATAGAACTTACAGAATGGCACAAACCATCAGGTGAGTTCTGTAAAAGTATGTTGGCAAGAAAAGTGGAAAGTACAACTCTAAAGCGAATAAACACCCCAAAATTGAAAACCCACCAAGAATGCACTACCCTAGGCCCTCATCAAACCATCTGGCCAGTCAAAACCCTCCGTCAGCCCTTTGCTCTGGCTGGCTGAGTTCAGGATTCCCATGATGGGTGGGTGACAATAATCCCGAGGTAGCATAGAACTAATTATCAATCAACCACCATTTATCAGGTATATGCCCATGTTTTGATTCATCGAATCCCTGTAAAACAAGTTGTCAACGTAGGTCCCTTTTTGAATAACGGCCATAACAACCAGGGTATCGTTTGGTAATCCAAAATGGCCTGCTGGAAAATCCTCCATACACAGTAGATGTCCATTTAGATCAGGGATTTCCCAGCCAGCCATGTTTGATGACACTTGAGGGTGTCTGCCTAATTGTTGGTTGTATATCCCGTGTTACCCCATTATATCCCCAATATATATGTACATCTATCTATCTATATAAACATATTATACATAACTACATATATATATACATACATATTATACATATTATACATATATATATACATATTATACATATTCTACACATATATAGATATATATACATACATACATTACATACATTAATACATACATACATACATACATACATACATACATACATACATACATACATACATACATACATTACATACATACATACATACATACATTACATACATTACATACATTACATAAATACATACATACTATTATTTATGTATATATATATATACACATACATACACATGTATACATATACATATATCCCCGTTCTATCCCCATATTTGTTGGTTAAACTCCCATGTACTATATTATACTATATATATAATATGTATATATCTATATATATATGTACAAGAGTCATATTCCGTTGTATCCACATTCTGTCTCCATAAAATGGTACTGCACACCCATTTCTCTCGCTTAATCCGATTATTGTCCCATCTATCCCCTTATATTTCTAAGATGGACTATCATTAAACATGAAATTCCTATGATATAAGTTTTGGTTGTCCATTTATCCCCCTAATATTCTAGAAATATCAATGAAATTCCAGTTGACATATTCCACTCTCCCACTATTTCCTGGTTGTCGGTTAAATCACTGAATCAATCAACAATTGCCACCCTATTTTTGATCGTTCGAATCCCTGTAAATCAAGTTTCAATATGGGGGTTTCCATAAATTGGGGTGCTCCAAAAAAAGATGGTTGATTTCATGAAACATCCCATCTAGAAATGGATGATGAAATGGGGTACCCCTGGGTAACCCTATGACGAAACATACCTCCATATGGTTCCATCCCAATGTTCGAAGAATGACGGACCGCTTCCCAGCGGTCATAACTTCCCATCAACTTCAACTGGGATTTCTCATGGGATCCAGCGATGATTCTCGATGATCCAAACAAAGTTCTACCATCTGGTTATGACATTCACAGTTCGCCATGGAAAGATCCACCATTTTTAAGAACGGTAAACCATCTATTTCTATGGGCCATCTATACCATGGCTATGTAACAAATAACCAGAGGGTAGATCAACATGATCAACACATATTTCAATGATCCACTCAGCTTGGTGATTGTCAAAAAAAAAAGAAATATGTACTGTATTTTTTTCAGTGACCTATCATTTCTATGATTTATATGTCCCACTATCCCTAATACATGAACAGTGTTCAAAACCCCTCTGTTTTATACTGTTGGTTAAGAACGGGATTCCCCGGGCCCTTGGATTATGAAATAACCCCCAATATATGAAGGCTAGTTTTGATCCCCAAACTAATCATAATGCCAGGAGTTGATCCCAGCCACTGCTCGATATATCAGCCAGGGTTGGTTCACAGGAAAATTTACTTGGTAAAACCCCCATGATCTTAATGGTAAAAACCCTGGTTTCCGGTCAAGATTTTCCCAGCAAAACCAATCCAATAAAACTGGGGCAACACCTTATAGTACTATAATATATTATAATACTATAGTACTAATACATCTTCCTGAACAAGTACGAAAAAATTATCGTACAATCATTGGTGCCAACAATGACCGAGGTTGAGCGTGCCAAAAAATGGCCAGAGGTATTAATGATACTAATGATACAAATTCCAATGCATCCTGCCTTGGTCATCGGAGCTTTGCAACTCCTCCCAGCGCATGTCCACCAGACGTCGAGCCTCGATAAATTCTTCGCGAGTTTTTTGGACACGGCAAAAATGCTAACCCGGGACCCGTGTTTTTCTTGGAAAACTATGGGATATATATGGGAAAATATTGATATATATATATAATATGTAATATTATATAATATAGAATAATATAATATATAACATTATACTATATGATATAATATTATATCATATTATATGTATATATATATATACATATGGAATATGTGGGCATATGTAGTTCACCAGCGAGTTCACCTTTTTTTTCCATATGGGTACGGGTATGGGTCAAAATTGAAGCCCCGGGACCACACATTGGAATGGATTAATGTTTTGTATTAACCATCTAATTATTGAGGTAGTCAATTTTGACCCATCCCCATATTTTGCTGGGCAACATGTGAGAAAAATATATGGAGTTTGGATGAAAAAAAATGACATTTGTTCGGGGGTTTGCTAGCAAACCGGGAAAACTTAGTAGAGAAGAGGTAAAATAGCCAACGTCCAACCCTTGGTGACCCTTCCTGATTTGGCCGACAACAATGGAAACCAGGAACCAAACAACCGGTGGTGACTGATGTAAATGGAGGTTTCCAAATATAGAAACCTCGAGCCTCCCAAGAGTAAAACGGTTGCTTTAATAGTATATAAAATGATCTATGACGGTCTAATGACGGCGATGATTTGGGGGATGGATGTAAAAGGGGATACAACGGGGATATAAGTAACAAGCAATAAACAAAGAAAACATACTGATATAATTGTGATAAAGATGGGATGTAATGGTGACTCTTCAATGGATGAACGGTTATGGTTTGCCAAGATCTTTCCATATCCATGGGGAATTGTCCGTATTCATATGAGGTCCAGGGAAATGGATCTTTGCATCATAGGTTTTGACTCAACCGCATTGTGGGTACACCATGTGTTTCTTTCTCTTAGTGCAATTTTGCATCCATGTTGAGCAATCAGGAAATTTCAGCTGCATGTCTATGTGGAGATGGCCAGAAAATACAATAAGATGCACAGCATAGTGTAG